AAAAAAAAAAAAAAAAGAAGAAGAAAAAGGAAAAAGTGAATCGGTTCGAAATTGATTTGAAGCAAATTCGAATTAAAAAGACAGCCGTGGTAATATTTTCTAGTAATCGAGAAGACCTATGTGTCGATGAGGTGCAAGATTTTGGATTGTCAAGGAAATTCTCCAACATTCTTACCCAGTGTTAGGTAAGCATAGAATCATAAGAACAGGTTTTATACCTCGATCTTCTAGCACGTCACATTTCAATTCTTGTTTTTAAATTGCGTAGAACATTTATTTGTTTCGAGTCTATGATGATATGGAATACACACAGAGGATTGTTGAAAAAAAATCTTGAAACCTGTTTGCATTCTTTTTTTTATTATTACGATTGCAGATAAATTTTTTTATTACGATCTCCTGTAGAAGAATGTTTGAAGAATTTTAATAAATTAATAAATTATATATTTATAGAATAGTTTAACGAATTTTTGAAAATTTCTGAATATTATTAATGACTTTTATTATTTTTTTTTTTTGCAGGCTTGCTAAAAATCTTCGAACTCGCAAAGGAAGTCGACGTGGTAACGCTGGAAATCGTCTAGAATTGTTAGTTCTGGTTCATTTGCATCACGTACCATAAAGTAAGTATTATTTTCTACATAAGAAAAAAAACTAGGAAAAAAAAATAATATAATAATTAATACTTTATAAATCAATGTTATTCAGATAAAAAAAAAGATCAGTGAATCTGATAGTGTCAGAAATTAAAGTGGAAGTGCTGCGTATCGGTTTTAATTGGCTTAAAATCGATAGAAACTGGTAGAAGAAAGGTAGAACAATTTTCATTTTAAAAAGGAAGCGAAAAGAGTCAAAATGGTTCACACTGATATTCTCATCAAAGGGCCTTACGAAGATACGAGGTATGCTAGAAATTTTTTTATATTTTAAATATCTTAATGTTCTAAATATTTTAATCCTTTGCTCTATAAAGTCACATCTGATGACAGCAATATTATTCTTCTTTACTTTTGAACTAACTCTAACACTTTATGTACTTAAAATAAATCAAAACGAGAAAAGATAAAATTAGAATTGACTCAGAATAAACAATTATAGCGCAAACAGTTAAACTTCTTATATATATAATAAACATTCTTCTTCTTTTTTTTTTTTTTTTTAATTTTATATGCGTAGAAAGAACAAAAATGCATCGTCAGCACACCAACAGCGACCTCAACAATCGCAGAACAAGAATGACAAGTATGGCTCTTGGGGTCCAGTGTATAAGAACAAACAAAACTTTATCGACATGCATATTTGCTGATTACTATGAGGTATAACTTGAAAGATCGTATTGAAGATAATGAATAACGAATAAAAAAATTTTATATATTACTTGCATCACTTTATCACTTTAATTTCGACACCAAAGATTTCTTTGTTAAACTGATAATTAGTAACAATAAAAATGAATAGAAGCAATTAGAAGACAAAAGATTGATTATTCTTTAACCGATTATTCAAAACAATTTCCACTTGAAGAGGAAAAAATGCTAATAATCTTTGAAATCTTCGAAAACAGACAGACGAAGAAACTATATCACTAGTTCCGTCGGATATGCAACTCACGAGAAGACAAAGGACTCGGAAAAAATAACTGACGATTAGGTTAGGAATCTAAGAATATAAATACATCGAATACAATTCTCATCCATTTCGTTTTTCATTAACTATGGGATCAATTAAATTTAATTAAATAAATTCTTCATATTTCTATTCACGAAACATAATCTCTCAGAGCGTTTAAATGAATTCTTCCGTCATAATCAGACTACAACTTACAATACACTCTTCTTTATTCCAACTCGATTCGAATAGAAAAATCTAAAAATTTCTTTAAAAAATTAACCATATAAAAGAGAATATGCAGAAGAAAGAAGATATCAAAAGATTCAATTTCAAATATATTTAAAGTTAAATCATTAAATAAAATAAACTCTTTACAATACGATCTTCGTTTATTTCGATCCCACGTATCGAATCAACTCTTCGAATAAAACTGTTTCGTTCACCTGGAAAATCAGCCTGGAAATCGATCAGAAACGGGTGAAATAAGATTCGGAGAGGAAGATCGATCGGGGATCCCCTCGGTTTCCACCCCGTCGAGTCGAGGAAATAGTAGGGGAAAGCCGGGCTGGTGGGGAAACGAGCGAGGAAGAGGAAAAAAAAGCTTCTGGACAAACGAGAGAGCTTTGCCGTGGCTCGGATAGAACGGGGGCAACGTGGTGCAGTCGTTGAGAACGCGTCGTCAGGTTCGGTGTTCCTCTGAATGGAGGGTGACGGGGGTGGAACGGTTCGTCGCTCGAAAATTCACGTTCGACACAACGTCTATCTCGTTCCTAATATTTATCCTGATAATAATTAAACACG